CTCTCTCTCTCTCTCTCTCTCTCTCTCTCTCTCTCTCTCTCTCTCTCTCTCTCTCTGTCTTAATGAATAATCCATTTCCATATCTCAAGACAGCAAGGTCACGTGGAACCAAAGCACAAGTGACTCCTCTGTAGGGTCTCACTGATACGGCAGACCTCTCACGTACGTGCGCGTCTGAATGGCCTTGGACGCGCTCCATTTTGGTGTGTACTGTTCGAATACCAAACAGGTTCATTCTGTTCTTTACCACATGCCTGAGTGTTTGAAAGAGCCGGGGCAAATCCAGCTCATTTAACTTTGTTTTTTTGTTTTTCTGAATATTGCCGCAGTGCATTTCAGATGTTATTTTTACTTCTTTTGAGTTCAAGTTATTCTTTGCAGTCATTTTAACACCAGTTTTGTTAAACTCGATCTCGTGCAGCGCAAATTTTTCGAGACAAGTCAGCCACAAAATGTATACCGCTACTCCTCTACTTCGTACTCAATCAGCACACACAGTCTGGCACCTGTGGGTAGTTTTAAACTTCAAAGGACCGTTACAAACAAACCATTGAATCGAATTCCACAGTTGTACTGATAAGAGGTGATTGTACGTGCACTTCAAGCTTTAAAGAAATCAGGTTTGGGACAACCGAGTTGGAGTGGAATCCACCCCCACCATCTGTGAGATAGTCCAATATGACCCGGCTCTTTTAGGGTTAAGGCCTTCGAGTTAATAAACAGTAACCTTTGATGGCAACCAAGCATAAGTAACATAATTTGAATGGTTGCCAGGAAGAGCTTGAGTCATCCCACCCTTCACTGAGCACTTAATTTCGTTGCTTCTGCCAGCTAGCACACTGCAGACGGATTAGTTCAAGGAAGGAAGGATAACATTTACAATTCGCACATTATGAATATTCATTTCCATACCGTGACAGGTAAATTTGTGGCCTTTCACCTTTTGGGGCGAATCTACAGCGTAGTAATACAGCACACCGATGTCAAGAATCCATTTGGGGTTGTTGTTCAGCACGACAGTGATGTTCACCATTTCTCCCTTACCTTCGCCGCATAGGTACCCGATCAGGGTTATTGTGGAGTTCTGCGCAAGCGTGGTGACCTCAGTCGTCAAGTATCTGGTGGTCACGGGAACGTCGACGGCAGAAACTGAACAAATTAATGTATCGCCTTCCATTAAAGATAGTTCAAAGCACGAAAGCTAATAAATTACGGTCCCCTACGGCGAGCATCCGGACCCCTCGCTCAACCCAGCTTTTCGGATTTTTGCATTGGGTCACCCAATCACTCCCTGTAATTTTCAAAAGATTTTTTTTTAAACCACCCAGGAGCAGCTCATGTGGGAATTGGAACTGAGAGACTAGATATCCTTAAAAATGTATTTCTTTCATTGTAGTACCGAGGATTTCGAGATCGTGCACATTCGTTTCACATCATGTGCTTTCGCTAGAACGAGAATGTTTAATGTCGCGAAGACCCAACCATCGTCAGCTGATGGACTCTAGTTTTAGTTGAGCTCGCCTGGCTTACTTCCTGTCAAAAATAGTTCCTATAGATTTCTCTGAACATGCTCATCATTCCTGTTAATTTAATCTAAAAAGTTAACGCTATAACGTATCTTGGTCTCCTGTTTCAGTTTGCGTTCTAACCGAAATATTACCGAAAGAAAATCTTCTTACAAGTTCCCCTTGCATCTTCGTACACCGAATGACAAAATACAAGGTGAGGTGTTGGCACCATACACTTATAGGCTAGGACGTTGTTTAGAAAGGCCTCTTTTTCAGAGATGAAAGACATTCAAAACCGAAAATAACCATAACTTCTACATTCCACTACAACTTCCACACCTTCTTTGTAAAATGGACACTCAGACAGTTTAAGGTATACAATAGGAATTTGATAGAGATGAGTCCATTGTGGTGTTAATTTAACACCCTGAGTGTAAGTAAAAGTAATACACCGGACTTAAAATAGTGCTCCCCCTCCTCTATGGCATTCTCTTCCTGGTGTTTGGTCCTTTACCATCGTTCTAACAATGGGTCGTGCTTAACTGCATATCATGTGTGAAATCTGGTTGTAATAAAATAGTTACTCAGTTATTTAAACAATTTTAGAAAATATTCGATGAATTGATGATGACAATGATTTGTCGATTGTTAATGCAGAGTTACCGTTCTTTTGTAAGAACATTCGCGGGGAAGTAATGCAAAGAAAACAATACAAAAGTGAACGCTACCTGTTTCTCAAAGACTGTTCTGGAACTACAGTTACTACTACAAGGGATTACTCTACCCTAAACACTTCTCGAAGGTGTCTTACCTGTCAGGACTAGTCCGACAACTGTCAACGCAGTGAGAAGAGCCATGTTCTAGCGTGGAATGAATTCTTCGGACGAAGAAAGGATTGCTGTACTTTAATCACATTGAATGTTTTGTTCGAGAAATGAGTGCACCTTTTATTCTTTCTAACTTTATATTTGCAGGCTGCGCGTCGTTTACGACGCCCGTTACAAACTTTAATTATTAAATGCCAAACTTTGATCGAACAGAGAGCTTTTTTGTGCAAAACAGGCTATCTATTGTCGCCTGACCAGAACAATGTACACTGTTTTGTGCTGATAAGATATACCTGAAGTGGCCAGACACGATGGGAGTGTATTCGTTGCGTGCTGGTGCAATATTTAACCAGAACAAGAACTTTAAAGTTGGACCCATAAAATGTACGCACCTTTATGACCTGTTATGTATTCATTTTGCAATCGACGTATTTTTTAAATCATAGATCACATTTATTGTTCAAGCAACATTGGAAGTATGACATTAATAACTTCCGTAATATCATGATTTCAATTTACAAAGCCTCGCCCTGCAAAGTGATTACTGAAAACCAGGCCAAACTCAAGAGAATTTACCCACGTTTGCAGCCAGATAAATATTACTCTTGTGGGCCACTTCACAACTTGCGTTTGGACACGTTCAAAAGAATCACCCTTAGTGTTTCTTTGGGTTTAAATGCCACTTTTGGACGTCAATTGCCTAACGACGTTCCATTTTGAACATGTCAGTTTTTGACTTGTGACTTGACTTAGCTTGCAAAAATGGCTTGTGACTTGAGTGGGACTTGCACATTATGCCTTGTTGAAACGCAAGTCACAAGGCTGTTCGATCGAACCCAGTTTCAACCTATCAACTTACGCCGTCTGTTGTTAAAATAATCAGCGAAAGACTTCGTTGGGCTCACTACTTCTACTTCGGTCTTGTGAGACTTGTGAGTTGCTTGTCTGTAGACCAAATTCATTCATGCGATCAAATGACTTGTTACTTGACTTGTGGCTGAATCAAATGACTTGTGACTTGGTTAAGACTTTCAAAACTTGATTTGTGACCTAACGTAGACTTGCAAAATTGACTTGCTACCACCTCTGAAATCTGCCGTAAAGAGCTGTTCCCTCCCCAGAAAGCTAGGATAATTTGAGCGAAGTTTTGGAGTCCAGTAATGAGCTGGGTATTTTTGTGCACCTCATCCAAACAGAGATTTTAACATTATTGCACAAATTGTTGAAATGTGTGGAGGACAGCATGAGCGCGATCTTCATGTCAAGGGATGCAAATACTCATGACATCTCCTGACAGTATAGACAAATCTGAGGAGACATCAATTCTGCGGGGCCATCGCACCCACGAGCACACTCTGACAAGTCACAACACCCAAACTGCCCGGAGCAGAAGCACCCCCTCATCAGTTGAAGAGAGCCATTATTAGTAGGGATTGTTCATTTTATTCGTAGTGGTGCAACCGTAATGCGTACTTTCCTAGTCGTTCGTGGACCAGCAATTCCAACCAAGGGAGCCTTCGTTGCTTAGAAAATTGCACTCTCTCAATGTCTTGCTTAAGGCTCATTGGTCAGAGAAGAATCTAACGCGTGTACCACCCGCGTGTACTTAACAAGATGGTTCCGCATTAACAGATTCAATTAAGAAGCTGTTTATATATATAAAGCGAGAGAGAGAGAGAGAGAGAGAGAGAGAGAGAGAGAG